TGGGCACAGTTTTTGCTCCAAAGAGTCAAATCGCAAGCCCTGGTCCCTAAGACTTTGGGTTCAATTTTGCTCCAAAGAGTGACATCGCAAGCCCTGGTCCCTAAGATTTGGGGCCCAGTTTTTGCGCCAAAGAGTAAAATCGCAAGCCCTGGTCCCTTAGATTTTTGGGTCGATTTTTGCTCCAAAGAGTCAAATCGCAAGCCCTGGTCCCTAAGTTTTCGGGGTCGATTTGTGCTCCACAGAGTCAAATCGCAAGCCCTGGTCCCTAAGATTTCGGGGTCGATTTGTGCTCCACGGAGTCAAATTGCAAGCCCTGGTCCCTAAGATTTTGGGCCCAGTATTTGCTCCAAAAGGTGAAATCGCAAGCCCCGGTCTTTAAGATTTTGGGCTCATTTCTTGCTCCAAAGAGTAACATCGCAAGCCCTGGTCCCCAAGATTTTGGAATCGATTTTTGCTCCAAAGGGTCAGATCGCAAGCCCTGGTCCTAAAATGTTGGGCTCAATTTTTGCTTTTCCCTTCTCTTCTGCTTCCTTTTAACTGATAAAACACAAGAAAGGAACTCATATGATAAAGCAGTGGAAAGGTAAGCAGAGGGTGACTCCTTGCGCGTGAGCCTTTCCAAAATACTCCATCATATTCATCCTCTCGGCCTATCTCTTCTGTTCCTTTCCTTACTCTTCTCCTTCTCATAGTTCTTCCTTTTTGTTTTTCTCATTTCGAAAAGAAAGAGGGAAGGGAGAAACAAGGGAGAGAGAATAGATAAAGAAGAGTGCCATCTTCTCTGCGCCTTGTTTTGTCTCTCCCTCTTCTCTATTCATCTGTCTTCTCTTCTCTTCCTTGCTCTTCCCCTTCTCTCTTCCTCCAACAGATGTGCTTTTGGATCGTTTTCTGCATCTTCAAGCGAGAAAAAAGGACACAGACTGCGATTAAAAGGGACGCCCGTGTTGGATTGGCAGCAAGCCCAGCTGATGCTCATGATTCTCTCTCTTTCCCTACACATGGGCGATGGAACGGGTGTCCTTTTCAATCGTTTTCTGCATCTTCAAGAGAAACAGGGACACCCCACAAGAAGGAAAAGCAACATAAGAGATAGGGAGGGAAATTGACCCTTTCCTCTCTTCTTATCTGCTATTTTTCTTATTCGCTTCAAAAAGCAACCTAAGGGAAAGGGGATTTCCTGAAGAGGAGAGAGGGAACCTATCTGTGAAAAGCAAGAATGGTTTTTTCTAGTTCGAAAGGGAATAGGGAGAGACAAGGGAGAGATGATATGTACAGCTTTGCGCCTTATTTTGTGATTCCGTCTCCTTGCTTCCTGTCTCTTCTATTCCTTGCAGCACGCTTCGGGAAACATAGCATCCTTGTTATCTTTCCTCTCTCACTTCCCTTTCCCTTCTCTTCTTCCGCTTCCTTTTAACTGATAAAACACAAGAAAGGAACTCATATGATAAAGCAGTGAAAAGGTAAGCAGAGGGTGACTCCTTGCGCGTGAGCCTTTCCATAATACTCCATCATATTCATCCTCTCGGCCTATCTCTTCTGTTCCTTTCCTTACTCTTCTCCTTCTCATAGTTCTTCCTTTTTGTTTTTCTCATTTCGAAAAGAAAGAGGGAAGGGAGAAACAAGGGAGAGAGAATAGATAAAGAAGAGCGCCATCTTCTCTATTCATCTGTCTTCTATTCTCTTCCTTGCTCTTCCCATTAAATATGCAATCCTTGGTATCTCTCCTCTCTCCTTCTCTCTTCCTCCAACAGATGTGCTTTTGGATCGTTTTCTGCATCTTCAAGCGAGAAAAAAGGACACAGAATGCGATTAAAAGGGACGCCCATGTTGGATTGGCAGCAAGCCCAGCTGATGCTCATGATTCTCTCTCTTTCCCTACATATGGGCGATGGAACGGGTGTCCTTTTCAATCGTTTTCTGCATCTTCAAGAGAAAAAGGGACACCCCACAAGAAGGAAAAGTAACATAAGAGATAGGGAGGGAAATTGAAGAACTCCTCATTGTACTTGGTCATTCCCTTTCCTCTCTTCTTATCTGCCCATTTTCTGTGCGCCTTGTTTTGTCTCCCCCTCTTCTCCCATCATCTCTCTTCTGGTCTTTTCTTTGCTCTTCCCATTAAAAATGCAACCCTTTTTATGTCTCCTCTCTCCTTCTCTCTCCCTCCTCTTCTCCTGTTCCCTTCTAAACGACAAAAACGCAAGAAAGGAAGAATAAGAGGGGAATGGAGGCCCTGTTCCTTTTCCTCTTTCAATGGATGGGGGAAGTGGGCGGAGTTGGCCCCTTGCCCGTACACCCTCCCCATGCTTCAGCAAACCCCTCCTCTCGCCCTATCGCCTCTGTTTTTTTCCTTGTGCCCAAACGGAAAACGAAAACGGGTTCCTTTATATGTTCATTGTCCTTCCTTTTGTTTTTTTATTTCACAGGGAAAAGAACCAGAGAAGAGGAAGATAAGAACGAGAGGTGAGATGAAAACGGCACCATCTTCTCTTTGCCTTATTTTTGCACCTCCCTCTCCTGTCTTAATTTCTCTTCCACTCTTTTTTTCCATTGCTCTTCCCATAATATTGCATTCCTTTTGATAACTCACAGGAAATTAAAATGGCCTCCTTGTTGTCTCTCCTCTCTCACTTCCCTTTCCCTTCTCTCCTTCTGTTTCCTTTTAATTTTAACTGATAAAACACAAGAAAGGAGCTTGTAAAATCAAGCAGTGGAAGGGTAAGCAGAAGGTGACTCCTTGTGCGTGGACCTTTGCCGTACTTCACCATACCCCTCTTTTCGGCCTATCTCTTCGGCTCTTTTCCTAACCCTTCTTCTTTTCATCTTTCTTTTTGTTTTTCTCATTTCGAAAAGACAGAGGGAACGGAGAGATAAGGGAGAGAGGATAGATAAAGAAGAGTACCATCTTCTTTGCGCCTTGTTTTATCTCTCTTCTATTCTTTTCTTGGCTCTTCCCATGAAAATCGTGTTCCTCTTATCTTTCCCTCCTTCTCTCCCTTCTCTTCTCCTCACGAGAGCCTTCGACTTTAGGATTGAGGAGAAAAAGAGAAGAGAAAAGAGGAACTACCTGGTTCTTGTTCCTGAGGCCTCCATAGTACGACTGACGTGACAGCAGCGTACCCTCGTGGAAACGTGTATGGCTATAAGAAAACCCGAGTCCCAGCTTCCAAATAGACCCTATTTAAGCCACCCACGGGGGGGGGGGGGTGTCTACGAATTGAAGGAAACAGTCACAAATCTCTCACAAAAGACCTCTGGAGGATGGGACTTCAGCAGCCGACCCTCCGAAAAAGCAACAAGGCAGTGCAATCCCAACAGGAATGCTCGCGGTAGACAATGGCTCTGCGTCCGAAAGTGAGTTTCCGAGACGCACACAGGCTGCTCACTGCCTGATTTGCTCCCTTGGTACTAGTAGCCCAGTTGCACCCTTTCACCCTTTCTTTGGTTCTGGGTTCCCTGATCAAGGAACCAACCAAAAACAAGCGTAGCCTTATTGAAGATGGTTACTGGGCTAACCTTGTTCCCCAGGAGCTTGAAAAAGCCGCGGCTCCCTGGCAAGTCTGAGATGTGTCGCTCTTGCTTTCAGATGGCTAGGGTTACCTCAATGGGGGTTTCCGAAAATAGGGGTGCTATTTTTCTCTGTGTTTTTTTTTGTTTGTGGGGGGGGGGGGTGGGGGGGCGGGGGTGGGGGGAGGGGGGTCCTATACTAAGGATTAAAGTGTTTTTGGGCATAAAAGGGGTACCCGGATGCACCCAAATGAAGCTTGGGCACATACATGTATGAAGCTCCACTTGGACCAAGTATCAATAGACCTTTGGCGCGGCATTGTCACTACTAGACAGGCTACAAGCCCAACTTGCCCAGACGAGAACTGCTTCGAACACTTTTGTTTTGGAGCGTGTTGCTTGGGATGTTCCCCTTATACTAACAGTCCTTGATAGGGATTATGGTAGCCCCCTACTAGAATCCCTATTAAGGCCTGTTCATATAAGGGGGAACATCCCAATGTGTTACCATGAACCTCACATGCGCGCAACTGAGGCTACAGCACCTGGACTGGCAGCCATTGTGCGACATTTGAAGCTCGCCTCTTGGCAGGAGTCGGTGGGTCTAGGGTTTAGGGTTCAGGGTTCAGGGTTTTCGAAATTCGGGACCTTGTTGGGGTCCTCATGATAAGGGAATCCTACTATTTGGGGTTTATTCTGGGGCCCCTTATTTTCGTAAACTCCCATATGGTTCGTCTTCAGTTCGAGGCTCAAAAGCTTTCAACCAGTCAAGGAAGGTGGAAAGGGAAGATCTTTGGCGAGGGTACCCCTAGAGTAGACCCCCATTTTTGGGTTCCCTTAGAATGAGAACCCCCAGAAGGAAACCCTAAACCCTAAACCCTAGACCCTAGACCCTAGACCCTAGACCCTAGACCCTAGACCCTAGACCCTAGACCCTAAACCCTAAACCCTAAACCCTAAACCCTAAACCCTAAACCCTAAACCCTACACCGAGCCTTAGCCATCAGGTGGCGCATCCGCAAGTTCGCGATGTGGGCAGCTGGGCCACTTCGACCACCTGAAAAGGAACGGACTCTTTTAGGACTCTGAGTCGGGATGTTCCCCGTTTTTTTTCTGACAGTTCTTATTCAGGATTATAATAGGGAGCACTAGAATCCCTCTTGAGGACTGATAGTATAAGGGGGAACATCCCAAATTCGTTACCTTCAGGCTCCTCATGAGGCTTGCATCGGAGAGATGGCCCCCTGTGTCCTTTTGCTATCGCCTGCTGCGACGCCCTCCGAGGCTGGAAACGTCATGATTGCCAAGACTCATCCAGATTTCCCAAGCAACTTGCCTGAGCTGCTGGCTGTACAGAAAGTTACCAGTACTAGTACCCTAGGTCCGAAGTGGCTTTTATAAGCTTTAGAGGCGAACTCGCATGATGCACATGGTATGTACCATCCGCCCCCCTAGTCTGGCAACTGCTTGTCGGGGTGCAGAGTAAGCCCCTCGAGGTGATGTCTGCCTCCTCCTGACCACCCTGGGGGCGCAGCTGAAGTTGATGGATGAGGATCAGAAAATCCAGTCCCTCGGGCTTTGAGATCATAGCCCAAACAGGGGACTTCCTTATACTTAATACCCTTCCCCAAGCAGGGAAACAATGTTGCAGTCCTTAGGATACACACCGCCCTCAGACACCAAAAAGAAGGCACCCCTACCAGCTGTGACATTGGTAGCCCTCTGTTGCGGGAACTCCCCGATTCTTCCAAAACCCTCTAACTAAGGAATATACCCTAATTGTATACTCCTTCCTTACGGGGTTTAGGGTTTTGGGTTTAGGGTTTCGGGTTTCGGGTTTAGGGTTTCGGGTTTAGGGTTTATGGATCTGGGTCAAGTTCAGGAGTGCCCAAGCATGCCTGGGCCAGGCGACAGGTCGGCTACCTTAGCAAGGCCAAACCCTTTCCCCAATTGAAGCCCTTTGAGGCTTCGGGATCTTGTTGAAGTCTTCCCAGTGTGTGGAGACGACTACCGAAGCCGGGGGAAGGGGGGGGGGGGGGGCTGTGTTGAAGGTGCTGAAATTTGGGCATATACAAGGTATGCTGGGCAAATGCCGAGCAAAATGCACGAAAACAAAGCTGTCAGCAGCCATTCCATTCAGGTCAGTGGACCTTGTGACATTCCTGACCGATGCGACCTTGCCCCGAGTGGGCGCAACTTGGCTGTTTCCAGGTTGGTTTTTCTCAAGGATGGGGTTTAGGGTTAATTTAGGGTTTAGGGTTTAGGGTATAGGGGCCCCAAACCCTGTTCCCCCACATGCCTGCTATGCTGAACCATGACCCTTAAGGGAGACTGGATTCGGGCACCTGCTTAGGTAATGATCTGGTCGTGGTGGCCAAAGTTACAAAGTCGTGTAGAATCCAGTAGTGCTGCTTGCGTTTTGTTTACCGTTGGCTTGTGTTGACTGCGTGTTGGGCGCTGTAGCTGGGCGCTGCGTTGTGCCTTGAACGTCAGCGATTTGAGCTCAAAATTAAAGCCGTTTCCAGCGAGTCAGTGAGGCAAAGCCGCAAATCATCCACTCAGTGACGATTCCTTTCCCAGGCCAGGCGTGATATCAGTCTTGGTTGTTTAGGGCCATTTCAGGGGTCAGTGGGTTTGTTTTGGGTTGTGGGGTGTTGGGGCTGTCGGCAGTTTGTTGCCTTTTTGGGGTCTACGGGGTCAGGGTTTGGGGGTCAACCAATCTCGAGACCTTGGGGTTGCTGCAAAGGTTCCAACAGCTTCCTCGATACCTTCAAGATCATGCGAAGGCATATGCGCCCCGACTTCAGCCCTATCCTCGACTGGCATAGGGTATACGGGCCGGGTTGGGAGCAGTTCAGGGAATTCTGATGGAAAGCTAGGCAGTCATATCTTGGCAGTCATCACAAGGAATTGAATGCTCCGGGGGTTTCGGGTTTCGGGGTGGTATTCTCCCTGATTTGTCGGGATTGATGAGTGGATCACTGTCGATGAGTTGAGGGCTGGCCCTTGGAACTCCTTGATACTCCGTGGGATTCTTTTGGGGTTGAGACCCGGGCCAGGAGACTCGGGAGGGGACAGTAACTGAGTAAGAATCCAGCGACCCCCCCGCACCGAGGGACAGGAAATGATATTTCTTGCGGTTGAAGATTTCCCTTTGGTGAGCAGGCTGGTGGTTTCGCCTAATCCAAAAGCTGCCCACCCTGAACTACCGACTCCTGTGAAAGGTCACAACTCTTCCTCGGAACTGTGGGGTTTTGGTTTGAGTCAGGGTGCGGGATGCGGGGTTTAGGATTTAGAAGTTCAGGAAGGCTAAGACGGAACACAAGATCCGACCTAAGCCCTACAACCATAAGCCCAAATGCAAAAAGATCTAACCTTTCAAGCAGGTCTGGGTCCGGGCCTCTTTCGAGTACGTAAACAAACATCTAGTAGACCCTCTGATTTACGTTACAATCTAAGGAACACACACGCCGAGCTGAATGCGGGCTTTGTGTTCGAGTTTGCTGCAGATGGTGGTGTGGGCATTTCTGATGTGAGGCTAGATGGGAACAGCAGGTGTTCGCCAAAGCTCTTCCGAACCTGCACCCAAGCTCTATTCCGGAACCATTCATCCATGCACCTGACTCGGCACCGCGTCTGACTCATTCGATGCTGCTTCTATACATACTAACCGTTCTAGCTAACGATGGTAAGTATGATAACTATGACAACGTGTGCTATCAAGTTCTGAATTCTAAGCGTTGGAGCCCTCCACTTGGCTGTGCAGGATGGTCTTCGGCAACGTGGAGCACAAGCCATTCGTGGCGGACACCTCGGTTAAGGTGGGAGTTGGGCCAATTTTCGGGGGTATGCACAGCGCGTTGGCGACTTTTAAGTACCTTAGACAAACCCTCGTTAGCCCTCTCGTACGCATCCCGAAGTCCTCACTATAAACCAGGAAGACTTGCGCACTAGATTCCCCGAAACCCTAAACCCTGAACCCGAACTCCGGCCCAAAGGACTTTGGGGTTTAGGGTTTAGGGACTGTTGCACACCCCGACTCCCCTTGCAAACCTGGCTTAGGAGTTCTTCAAGATTTGTAATACGGGGGGGGGGAGGGCGGGGTGGTTCTTCTAGGGTGCTTTAAGGGGCTTATCGGTTTGCGGGGCTTAGAGTCCAGAGGCTGCTTCTTTTTTGGCTCCTGGGTGTTTTATGGGTTCTTTGGTGCTGCATGGTTTGGGGGGCAGTCGTGCAGGTCTGTTGGGGGCTTCAGGGTACCCGCGACGCGAAATACCACGTGAGGCGCTCCGCGGCCAGTCTCTGACCTCGGCCACCATCGAAAGTGTGGGCAAGGTGGGCTTAGGGTTCAGAGTTCAGAGGGTGCTATTGAGACTTGACGTGTGCGACGGCCCTCCCCTCCACCTCCTGCGCAATGCTATAGTGCCTTTGCTGTCCACATCTCCCATGGCCATATTCCGTGAGACTCAGGTGCTGCGAGCTGAGATCGAGGTGCTGTGGGGAGGGGTGGGTCCCGGACCTTTACACCCTGAAACGTATATATAAGCATAGGTATTGAGCATGCACACATGAATCTAAAATTTGAGGCTACAGATAGCTATGGCTATGAATATGAATGATAATGTGGGCTCAAATGGGGCCTTCGGCTTAGGTCTTGAGCCAAGAGCAGCCAAAGCTGGCACGCTAAGCCTCAAGAAGCATCGTCGTTCAAGTGGTGATCGTCCCAACCACCCGAAATCCCTAGGCCCTAAACCCTAAACCCTGAACCCTGAACCCTAAACCCTAAACCCTGAACCCTGAACCCTGAACCCTGAACCCTGAACCCTGAACCCTGAACCCTGAACCCTGAACCCTGAACCCTGAACCCTGAACCCTGAACCCTGTCCCAACCTAAACATGATGCTCCGAAGGCCCACATCCAAGAGCCATCTGTCCCGGAGCCGCCCTTCCTGGTGGTGGACAAGGAGTATCGTGTGAATCTCGCCACCCGGGCTTCAAAGGGCTTCGTTTATCAGTTTAGGGTTGAGGGTTTAGGGGTTAGGGAGTTCAGGGCCGTTCCGCTGGGCTTTTCTAGGACGTCGAACTTATGCGGGCACAAGCAACCGGCTCTGGTTCCTCTGCTCATCTCACTAGTTCATAGCAGCTATTCTGTTTTGGATATTGTACACATCCGATCTTGTGCACATGCATTGAATCCCCAAGTCACTAATACAGCCCCAAACCCACGCCTTCGACTCCCTGAGCCGATGTCGAGCTCCGAGGCCTGCAACCTCTTTGCGAAGGCTGCGCTGAGGGCCCGTCAGGCGCGCGGCGCGGCGCTGACGCCGGAGGCAGTTGGGTTTTCAGGGTCCAGGGGTTAGGGTTTAGGGTCCGGGGGTTAGGGTTTAGGGTTTAGGGTTTAGCCCTGAACCCTATAAACCGTGCTTGTGTCTGGCAGGAGTTGAGCGCCGTCGCGGCGCCGGAGAGGGCCGAGTGCTCGGGCGACCAGCCGCTCGTCTCCAGCACCAAGGGTTTAGGGCTTAATGGTTGTTTGAGGCGTTCTTTGGGGGTTTTGGGTACTTGGGGATCTTTAGGGTTTTGGAGCACCAACTGTTGCCTGCCTCCGGCTTAGAGTGGTTCCCCGAAAAGGTTTGGTTAGTGTCTCTAGGGTTCAGGCATCAGGGGTTTTAGGGTTTAGGGTTTAGGGGGACAAGAACCGTCTGCGCTCTGTGCAATCCGGCAGGAACAAGAGTATGCAACTCATGCAAATCATATGTTACAGTATAGAAAGTTGTTCGATTCTGTGAAAACAGATGTATGTATGCAGTGTTACTGGTGCATGAGATGAGTACACTATATGCTCTAGATTGTTGGCGTTTGTGCTACTAACGCAAAGCTGTTAGCATCTGTTGAGTTCCCTCAATGGAGAAATGTACCAACATTGAATTTCCCTGCCTTTCTCGCAACAAGTTCTACTAGAAAGCTCTCAAACTTCATTTCTTCAAAAGACAGGTTTGACGTAGTGTACATGGGCTTTATATGATGTGCCAAGTTGTTTCTTTGATCATCACTTGATCGGTTTGTGCGCATTCGTTCTGCTTTAGCCAGACTGGAAAGGCAATTGCCTGAAAGAACGGCGGAAGTCTCAAAGTATCAAGGTTCATGCAGCCTCTTCCCAGAAGTTTGTTAAGGAACTTGTCCAAGTTAAAAGTATGGAACCTTTTTTGTGCGGCCCACTCTACATTGCACCTGCAGCCATAATTTGGAGCAACACCTGCATCACTCCCATCACGCCCTCCCATGGCGAGGAAGTTCACGGTGGATGCCACAACAGCACCAATCGGACAGCCTTTGGAGAAGTTCCAGGCTTTGGACCAAGCTTGCGGCAGCTCCGTCAGCAGATAATATGTTCTGGAGCTCACCCCGGCAGGGGGCCCTAAACCCTAAACCGATCACACAGATGCCACTATCCGATGGTCGCAAGTTGTAATTGGTATTGGCAGTGGTACGCGGAAGCAAGCTGCGAGTCTGGTTTTGTTTCGTACGTTCTTCTCGGCAGGCATGGGGCTATAGGGTCTGATATGATCGTGCTAGTGACGACGACGATGATATAATGTTGATGATGATGATGATGATGGTGGCGGTCATGCTCATCATGATGGTGATGATGATGATGACGATCATCATCATGATGACGACAGGATGACGATTCTGAAGATGGGGGCCTCAGCCTTTAAACTCGCAGCCTCCCTCTTTGGGCGGCCTGCCAGCTCTAGGCACCGCGCAGTACGTCGCAGACGAGCCGATCCGGCCCCGCACACTCTTCGGCGCTGCTTTGGCGGCAAGGGCTTAGGATAGGGGTTCGATCGGATGTTCAGGGGTTGAAGATGAATGGAGGTCTCTTTTTTGAGTTCCGTTTCTGCGGCCCCTGATTAGACTAATTGTTCCCAAAAAGACCAGAAGGGAGGGCAACCGATCAGATAGCGCCGGGGGCTGATACGGCTTGCTGCAGGGGATCTCTCGCGACTGGAGGGACGGGCCCCTTTTCATCCCGACAGAGGTACGTACGTACATAGATATTTTAGATATTTTATCTGTATTCATGTATGTATATATATATATATATGCAATCCCTAAACCCCTGGCCCCAGCACTGGGCCGTAAACCCTAGTCAGAAGCCCTCAACCCCCCCTTACAGAACCCGAGACCCCTATAAGCCCTAAACATCCCTAAACCCCTATAAGCCCTAATTCCTCATGTGCCCTGCACCCCTAAAATCCCGAAAGCCCTGTAAACCCTATTTTAACCCTAAGCTTGAAGTGGTGGCTCTCTAGGTTCCCGTGCTTGCTGAGAAAGTGGCCGTGGTCAAGTGCCCCTTGGCCGAATCTACCCTCAGGGTGATGGTGTTTAGGGTTTAGGGTTTAGGGTTTAGGGTTTAGGGTTTAGGGTTTAGGGTTTAGGGTTTAGGGTTTAGGGTTTAGGGTTTAGGGTTTAGGGTTTGGGGCGGCTGAAGATGGGACAACGTTCAGGACAAAGTACTTCTTTAAACTTTGAGTACGGAGAAATCAAGACCAGGTTAGTTTAGTGAGGTACTGGCAATACACGACGTAGAGCATCCTTTGACGAAGGACACTACTTCAAAGCAATGCCTGGCCAGAGGGCCGCGTCATTTAGACTTGGCGAACTCGATTCGGTTGGGTGGACCGCCTGGGGCTTGGGAATATCAGGGCTTCGCAAGGTTACGGAGACCCGAAGAGCCTTAAACCCTACGCCATCATCAGGCATCGATGTGGTGGAGTGTATGGAGGTGGCCGGCGTCACGAGCTTCATCTCGGCCGCCGACCTCAAAGAGCTAGGCTCGCGGTTCCGGGGATTGTGGGTAAGGCTAGCAGCCTGTACGGTTTTCACCTCCTGTTGAGACGGCGTCTGAGAAAATTTGGCCCTAAACCCTAACCTAAACCCTAAACCCTAAACCCTAAACCCTAAACCCTAAACCCTAAACCCCAAGCCCTCTAAGTCGCATCTTCGGAGAGGTGCCGAGAACGACCTCAAGCCCGCCTTCCCAGCGAAGGCCTTCCGCACAAGCAGGGCTCTTCATACTCTTCACGGCTTACTCCTTGGGAACCAAATGGAGCCCTGAAATTGGGACCATATACCCTATACTAGCAGAATCCTTATTGGGGTATGTGAGCCATAAACCCCTTTTCGGCTTCTTTTGGTTCTCAAGTTAGTTTAAGTGAACCACTTGCGCTGACGTAGATGGAAGCTGTGCTTGGTCAAGCGAACTGGCCTCAGATCTTCGCTGACCAGACAGCGCCCACCAAGCATCTCGGCCGCTCTCGCTTGCCTACGCTGGAGGTCATGCACCTGAGAGCCGGACCAAGCACCCAATTCTCAAAGTCTCCACCTAAACCCTACACCCTAAACCCTCAACCCTAAACCCTCAACCCGAACCCTAAACCCAAGCAAACGGAACCGGCGGACTGATCGTGATGGATCCATCGTCGATCTGTTCTGCCGAACACCCAAGGCACGTCGCTCAGTTTGTTGGCATGGTGCTGGCTGATACCTTGGAGGCTTCCTGGGTTGCATTGGCAGTAAATGGCCGGGGGCTTGCCTTACATGTGGGTCCCCCTAAGATATCGTTTATGCTGAGGTTCCGAATGACCACCCCAGAGGACCCCAATTTAGAACAACCCCCAAGATGGAGCCGGACCCAGGATCTCTAGTTGCAGTTGCACAAAGTAGGCACGGTTTAGGGTATATCCACAGGGGCTTGTGGATGTGGATGTTGTCGTGGCAGAGCTCGTGCTGACGACAGGTAATGCGGAAGGAGCTCTTCCTACTGTGTTGGGCTTCCTGCCCTTGCCCAGCCAAAACTCACGCCCCACACTCCCATACCCTAAAGCATCCTAAAGCCATCAAGATTCTCTAGGCAGCCCGACGCGGCGCGGGACTTGTGCATGTGGCGCCTCGGAGAAGTCTAGGGGGTACCCTTGGAAAGAAAGCTTCTTAAGATTCGATTGATTCGCTTGCGGCTTCGAAGGATCTCAGAGGCTTGAAGCCCTGAAGCCGGCAGGAAGGCAGGAGAGAGGGGTGAGGGGAACTGCCGCCGGTGGAACTTCTGCCCTGGCATGAGCAGAATCTGTTCCCTCCCAATCTGCCCAGGAGTATGCAGAGGACGCCGCACCAGTTGTGAAGGTGGCAGATGCGGTCAAGCTCGGAAAGGTGGAGGAGTGCAAGGGCATCTGCCAGGCTAGTGTTGATGTTGGCCCACCAGATCTGCGGAGGGCGTAGCGAACCGAAGCCGAACGTAGTAGATAATGCCCGCGAAGCCACGACCCCTCCCTAGACACCCCTAAAAAGCGCCTAAGTCAGTAAACTGTAAATCACAAGCCATGAAGGAGAAGCATGGGCCACTCCGCGTGGGCAAAGCCGGGGGCGCAGCAGACGTGGCCACGGTGGAAGGCCGTGGCGGTCGTACTACCAACCCAAACCACTAGACCCCCTAAACCCCAAGCCCTTGTTTAGGGTTTAGGGTTTAGAGTTTTGGGTTTAGAAGCCGCTATGGTTCACTACCCCAGACCATGATCCTCGCAAGATCCAGGCAAGCTCGTCTCTGCCGGGCAAAAGCACTTCTACCTGGAGACCCAGACAACCTACGCCTACCCGGACGGCACTGGCGGCCGCTGAAACGCAACAAGGAAGCCTATGGCTGGGCCAACTTAAGCATCGGGTCCTCCGAGAGCCGAAGTCGAGGGTTAGGGTTTAGGGTTTAGGGTTTAGGGTTTAGGGCTTAGGGCTTAGGGCTTAGGGCTTAGGGCTTAGGGCTTAGGGCTTAGGGCTTACTTAGGGTTTAGGGTTTAGCGTTTAGGGTTGTGGGCTTAGGGTTTAGGGTTTAGGGTTGTGGGTTTAGGGTTTAGGGTGTTTAGGGTTTAGGGTTGTGGGTTTAGGGTTTAGGGTTGTGGGTTTAGGGTTTAGGGTTTAGGGTCGACATGTGTACCTTGCGGAACCTTCAACTTAACTAGACGCCCCTGGGCACATGGATCAGATTAATGAGTCCGAGGACTGGTCGTGAACAGCTCCTGCCAAGTCCTGGACTGGGCGCAGACAATGCTTTGCAAGGTCTTGCACATGCCCAAGAGCAGCTTGGCTGGGGCCAGAGGCCTCAAAGCAAAGCCTTGAGACCCCTGCCTTTTGCAGGGGGGGCTCGTTTTTGCGAGGGTGCTTCGTAAGATACTGCACTCTAGAACTCCCCCCAAACCCCAAACCCCAAACCTGGAGCCCTGAGCCCTGCACCCCAACCCCCCCTCCCCGCTCGCCCCAGGTAAGATCACCTTGCAGAACCAGCGCCTGGGTGGGGCCTATGGTGGGAAGGCCACTTCCGGAGTGCCCTTCAAATCGCAGGTTGACTGTAATTAGGCCCAGCCAACAAACCCCACAAACCCCATGAGTGCCATGAACCCTATGAACCCTATGAAGCCCATGAACCTTATGAACCCCATGAGCCCTACACCATAATCTAAAACGTCTGAACCCCAAGCCTTAGGAACCCGAAACCCTCTAAAGCGTTGAAACCCTAGCAGGGCTTATTCAACTTGGGCCAACCTCAGAGAGGCCATGGCCATGGCCAGGATGCCCCAAGCCCTGACCCAGAGAACTGCCTGGAAGCTAGGGTTTAAGGTTTAGGGTTTAGGGTTTTAGGGGGTTAGGGTTTTAGGTTTCAGGGTTTTAGGGTTTTAGGGTTTTAGGGTTTTAGGGTTTAGGGTATAGGGCCATGAAGGACACTGGGCAGTTCTTTCAAGGACTGGCTGCTTAACCACAAAGCTTCGGATCACAAAAGGTAACCCAGAAGGCACCACCACTGCTGAATTCGGAAAGCCGCATAAACTTAACTTACTGTTGGTTAGCAGGGAATGAGGGAATGAGGTACCCTATATGCCCCTGTATATACCCTTTAAGGGATTTTACAGGGTACTCCATTCCCTCATTCCCTACAAACCAACAGTAGGTTGAGGCCCCCAAGCCCTAGACCCTAAGCCTCATCAACTAAGAAGCCCCTTCACCCTAAGCCTCCTAAAACTTAAAGCCCCCAAGCCCTAAGCCCTTACAAACCCTCAACCCTCAATCCGATAAACCCTTTGAACCCTATGAGCCCTATGAACCCTGTAAACCCTATCATATGATCTATAAACCCTACAAACCCCATAAACCCCATAAACCCTATAAACCCGATAGGCAGCACTCTTTGCACCGGTCTGCGCCGCCACGGCCGTGGCGGCGCTGCGCACCAAGCGCCCCGTGCTGGTGCAGCTGGACAGGCCGGAGGGTTTGGGGTTTCGGGCTCAGGGGTTGGGGGCTTGGGGTTTAGGGTTTGGGATTTTAAGGGTTTGGAGTTTAATGGTTTGGGGTTTAGGGCTTGGTGTTCGAGTTCAGGGTTTGTAAGGGTTTAGGGCTAGGGGCCTTTAACAATTCAGATAGGATCTTGCAGGAGCTACATAATCACGTACCAGTACTACAGGAGCCTTGTATAAGTAGCCCAAACTGTTGTCATGAACTTAAGGACGCCCGACTTCCGCGCGCTGGGTGCCCGTGCACCCTTCGACGCCTCATGGACGTGCAGTGCCCTGGGCTGTAGCCGGATGAGTGGATGAGGGTTTTGGGGGTTTTGGGGGTATAGGGTTGAGGCCGTAGACGGGCGAGTTGTAGTGTCGTGAGTCAGTGGGTCAAGACGACGACCGTCTGCAACTCTGAAAAGACACATTCGCAAAGGCCTTTGTAAACCCTAGACCTTAAACCATGAAGAGCTGTGAGGCTATGATGTGTCCAGCGGGAAAATCAGCACCCTGAAGCAGGCAGACCTGTGGGATTCGGAGTGGGCATTGGGATTCAAGGTTTAGACTCAGGGCATGGCGGACTCTCTGTGGTAAATATGGTTTGGGCGTGTTTTGCTAGCGCTGTTTCACTGTGCGGTTCTCTTGATTGTGAGTATCTCAGTATCTCTTGAGATTCTTGCTTCAGGTTTTGAAGTGCGCATAGGCCTCTCACATGCAACACTGGGCTGTTTGGGTCCAAGATGTAAGGTGCGAGGAGCAGTTGAGTTGAGGGTCTGTGGGTCAGGACGTCCTGCAGAACGTGGGCTTCGACATGATGGGCTTCTCCCAGGCAAGCAGCGTGACTTGCCTGAACGTGCGCCCCAAGCAAAGCAGCAAGCAATGCCAGCAGTCGAACCAGTCAGCCATGCCCTTCGGGGGTGTACAAGGTCTTTTACCCTAAGCCCTAAACCGTAAACCCTAAACCCTAAACCCTAAACCCTAAACCCTAAACCCTAAACCCTAAACCCTAAACCCTAAACCCTAAACCCTAAACCCTAAACCCTAGCTGGTGCGAAGGTTGGTTTCTCAAGGCTGTGTCGACAACGTGGGGCCATTAGGCTGACTTCGGCTCCCAGAGGTGGGTGAAGAAGCTGAGGTGAACTGCTATGACATTCCGCATGCTGAGCTTCACTGCAAAGGCTGGCCCCGGCTTAGGGCTGAGGGGTTTAGGGTTTAGGGTTTAGGGTTTAGGGTTCAGGGTTTAGGGCTTAGGGCTTAGGGCTTAGGGTTTAGGCGGTGTAGGGTTCAGGGCTGAGGATTTATGATTCATAAGCAGCTGTTCATTCATCTTCCAGCGGCTGCGGCATCAGGTTAAGGCAGGGCACCCAGTCCCTGGGCTCGGCCTTGAACATAAACGAGCAAACACTGTCGCATAGCAGGTGACACGTCACAGGCACTATAGAAATAGAAGAACATAGGCATCTACAAGACATAAATAGACCCATGCACATATTAGATATGCAAATGAGTATGCGTCAAAATACAACTTCAAATCCGTATGCATGTACATGAAACCATGCCTGTAGCTAATGTACATATACATACACCCGCACCCATCCCCTTCTTCCACAAGACTAGGAGCTGATCTTGTCTTCTCGGGTCTGCACTCGATCCTGCTCCCTCACCCATTCCCTGTCATCCATAGTATCTTCCACATGGTGTGTTATATGTACTTTGATATTACATATGCAGAACATCTATGAGGACGGACCTCTGCGCTGTTGAGCTCTGACAGGTGTAATCACCGACTTGCCCATGAACACTTGGATGCGCGTTTCGTGGCTAGCATGTAGTTGGGGCAGTCCTTTGGGTTCATAAGCTCCGACATCTGTCTGAGCTGGAACCTCAAAACGCCCGAAACCTTCTTGTTGCAGCTGACCAATATCTGAAGAAGGCCTTGAGGTTTAGGCACTTTTGCTCTTCAGACTCACCAGAAGGGGCCGGTTCGCGCTTTAGACTCAACAGAAGAAACCAGTTCAGGTAATCTGTGCAGTGAAAGAAAGGGCAAAAGGATGTCCAGCGTGTGTGACTCCAAACGAAGGCCCCTGGAGATTTTGAGGGGGCCATCATCATGGAAGCAGTCATGGAGCAGGCGGCCTGTTGTTTTGACGGATGCCCAAAGTAGCACATGCAGCGATGATTTACAGCTCGTAAGCTCTAGCGAGCTTCATAGGTTGACACGACTATATGCGCATGAGAACAGCTGGTCCGATGTATGGTCCCTTTTCAACTTCCTATTGTCACACGGAGCCTGAAATTGAGCCCCACACCCTAATAAACCCCAAAAGGGACCATAGCTCACAGAGAGCTCCGCATGTGCTCCGAAGCTGCCAACAGGTGGCCAGAGCGGCGCAGAAGGAGCAGCAGTAGAGTGAACAGGGTTGGTTTGGGGCTTAGGGCTCAGGTGAAGGGTTTGGGGTTTAGGGGTTTGGGGTTTCGGGGGTGAAGGGTTTGGGGTTTAGGGGTGAAGGGTTTGGGGTTTAGGGGTGAAGGGTTTGGGGCCTGGGGTTAGGGGTTAAGAGTTTGGGGTTTAGGGTTGAGGGATGTTTAGGGTTTAGGTTTTAGGGTTAAGGATGTGGAGAGACCTTGTACGCACAAGCTCCCGGGCCTGCCAAAAAACTCCGAAACAGGAACCATGACCACTCTTATAGCTTGACGGCATAGGGCTTAGGGCTTGGGGTTAGGGTTTAGGGTTTAGGGTTTGGGGTGTAGGGTTTAGGGTTTAGGGCTTGGGGTTTGGGGTTTAGGGTTTAGGGGTAAGGGCTTAGGGCTTAGGGTTTGGGGTTTAGGGTTTAGGGTTTCGGGTTTAGGGTTTAGACCAGAATTCTGAATCCTGAAGCCCCGGGCGCCTCAGGAGCCCTGGCAGCTCCAGGAGGCCAACCTGGCCCCGGGCATGGAGAAGGCGGGGGTTTAGGGTTTAGGGTTTAGGGTTTAGGGTTTAGGGTTTAGGGTTTGGGTTTAGGGTTTAGGGTTTAGGGTTTAGGGTTTAGGGTTTAGGGTTTAGGGTTTAGGGTTTAGGGTTTAAGGACGACAAAATAGCATACTTAGTAAAAAGGCTCTGAGAACCAAAGTCGCTGTCATAACTAGACAGCAAGAAAACGCTAGCAACCAAACTACTTATAGTGACTAAATCAGCGAGAACAGCCTTAATGACGGGGCGTAGGCAGATGCAGGTATGTTTTTTCTGCGCAGCATACTCTTTTTAAATGTGGGGTTTGGGGTTTAGGGTTTAGGGTTTACGGTTTAGGGCGTGGCTTCCAAGTCTTGGCAGCTTGCCCGCAAGAGGCCGAGGGCATCACGGAACGCGGGGGTTTAAATCTTCAGAGATGCATATGAAGCAGGGTTTATATTGGTGAGTGTATATAAGGTTCCTTTTTCATGTTGGTGAGTGTATATATTTGGTGTCCTTCTGGGGGTACAAGAAATATGCACCCTACTTCATATCCTCGGATGCAAGTATTCCAGAACTTGATACTTGCCTCATGAAACAAGGTTTTTTTTTTGGCCTGGTATTGGTTAATGAGTGTCTATTGGGTTCCTTCTACTTTTGGGGACACAAGTCAGACAAGTCATAGAAGCTCTACTTCACATATCCGACTACCGCGCCAAAAGTCAAAGATGTTTTAGGACAAGGCGTTGTGGACAGTACTATAGCAGGGCCCTGCATCTACAGCAGCACTACTCTGTCAGGCCTGGCAAGCCCTGCTGCTTGGCTGTTGTTACGCACCCTTGAGTGGCCTTGTGAAAAGTTCGAGATGGGTCTGGAGGTTCAGGGACTCAAACGAGCTAAAGCTTGAAGTCATGAAGTCAAACGAGGGCTCTAAGCCTGCAGCCTGCATATACCCCCCCACCCCCCTCAACCCCCCCCCCCCCCCCACGAAAATAAAAGCCTAAATGGCCAACCTCAGATTCAAGTTCAAACAACCTGCCCCCAAGGAAGGCGAAGGCGAATTTCGACATGGCCCGAGGGGCAGTCAAGGCCTTCAACGAGTCCAACCGCCGCTTGGGACGGAAAATCCAACAGGGCAAGGGGGGGGGGGACGCCGGGCCCGGGGTGTGTATAAGGGTGAGCCTACCCTAAACCCTAAACCCTGTAAGGGTTCAGGGCGATCCATGTCGAGTGGCAAGATGTTAAGCGGCGGGAACCTGTGAGAGGGTTAGAGTGTGGCTGGGTTGCTTGAGGAGCCACAATCTCCCCCGTGCATCACTGAGGATATCGCAAGAGGGGCATCTACTGCTACTTGGCTGTCGTGATGGTTCAACGAATCTTTGGCCGTGACATATCAATTTCATATTTCCTTTAGCGACAGTATGCTGGATCGTGCGGGCAAGTCCGAAAGTCCCCCCAAAGATGCAGCGCATCTGCCTGTTCTCTGTGCTGCTTCGATTGTGAGAAGGCATGGGCTCACGCTACAAGCTCCCTCCGGCGCAGTGGACCGAGAAGTGCTACCTCAGGCGCGGATCGCAGCTTGGGGTTTAGGGCTGAGTGGGTTCCACAATGCTTGGGTTTAGGGTTTAGGGTTTAGGGTTTAGGGTTTAGGGTTTAGGGTGCAAGGATCAACACAGACGGCTCGGTGATCTTGGAGCACACCGGTCTGGAGGCATCGGACGAACTTCAGACGACTTTCGGGTTGTCGGCCCTTTTGAGTTTCGTTCTGTTTGTCAAGCTGTTGTTTCGTGCAGCCTTTGCATTACCTGCCGTTAGGTTTTTGGCGAAGTAAGGCTTGAAGGTCCAGGAAGGGTTTAGGTCAGGTTCCTGCTGGGAAGGGCAAAGGGCTTGAAGGGCTGGTTGAGGTTTAAGCTTTAGTAAACGTGGTGGACCAGTCAAGCAAAGGCATAATCCAAAGCTAGTGGACATGCGCAACCTCTGCTCATCTGCTTAGCTATGGTTGTGATCCTTGGCGTTCTTCCTGGATCCCTAGATGTGGTCCAGTTGTGGTAGGGAATAGGGCAGCGTCTCGCAGTATAGGTCTTGTTGTGGTATGCCCTGTTCGCACTGCTCCCAAAGCCCCAAAAACACAGAACCTTAACTCCGCGACCTCTCTGCAGGTGGGCCAGGGCATGGACACGAAAGCACTCCAGGCGCTGACCATGGAGCTGAAGAAGATCGCTGCACCTGGGCGCGGATGTGGGTGGGGGGTTTAGTTCTGAGGGTTGAGGAGTTGAGTCCGGAAGGACCCTGCGGAGGTGTGCAGATCTCAAGGGCCCCTACGCCTGCATTGGCAATGTCTCGTGAAGCGTTCACATGTCTTTTTTGCTTGGCATTAAAGGCCGACTTTACCATGGACAAGATCAGCATCCGTCTTCCGAAGAGCACTGCTGACTCCAGCTGGGCAGGTGCTCCAAGGGAGCTAGCGAGGGAGCTTATTCCAATCGCAATAGGATTCGCCTTTTCGGGTGTGGGTTTCAGCAGCAAAGGGTAGTGGACCTAAATCAAGGGTTGAAGGCTCAGGGTCTACCTTGGCCCACCCGAACCTTCTCGGAATGCTTCCCTCCCCCCTCCCCCGGAGTCAAAGCACTCCACGGACTCCCTTCACTCGGAGGCATCACCGGCACGTATGGCAGCTGCACCTCAGAGACGGTGGTGTCTTGGCGACCCTGTGAGATCCAAGACTCCGCGTTAGCTCCCCTCCAAATCGTCGCTGAAGGAATCAGATGGGGTTGGGTTTGGGGCTGCAGCAGGTCAGCGCCATCCTGGATGCTGGTGGGAAGCTGCAGAAGGACAGAGTGGGGAGACTTCGATCCCATGTTACAATGCTCTTCTCTCGCTCTCTCTCTCTCTCTCTCTCTCTCTCGCTCGCTCGGTCGCTCACTTGCTCTCTCTCGCTCTCTCTCTCTCTCTTTCTCTTTCTCTCTGTCTGCTTCTGTGCCTCTGGCCCTGCACCATGCTTGATCTAGGAGCTCGCACCCTACACCACGCCGGGCAAGCTGTGGGCACAGGCCCACCTGTCACGTAACAATGCCTAGGATCCGGTGGAGATGCTGTGGTTTGAGGGTGAAGAATTTGAGCCAGTTGCAGCCGGCTTCCCCAAAGTTTGCTTTTGTAACTCCTCTGCTCCATCACCCTCTTGGTCCTGGAGCCCCAACACAACAACCACATCCTTCCCAAAATGCCCTCGAAGCCTCGAGCTAGACTCTTGAGCGCTGCAGGTCATCGCTGATGCAGTCAAGGCCGGCGCCACCCTCTACCAGGCCGGAAGAAGCAACAGCCAACTGACCCGCAAAACGCACTTTCTGGTGCTTCATCGTGGTGACGGCACTTTTGAACTTGTGTTGCCCTTTCTCCAGCCTACTTGCAGCGCTCCAGGCAGGAAAGACCAGTGTGGCCAAGGAACCCCTGCCGCTCCGTGGCACTCAAGGGAGGAGGGATGCTCCAGGCACTGATACGGAATTTGGGCAGCTGGTCTTGACCGGACATAAGCCAGTGGCAGCAGCAAGTGCCAGTACAACCTAGAAGTTACCGACGAGATGCCACATGAAGGGCATGCCCCGCGAAGTTGCCGCGAAGGTCTGACTATGACCTCTTCAGCGCCGGCTGTGCGCAGGCTGGGGAAGCATGTAGATGCCTGAGTTCACTGTGTTGAGCATCCTGCTGGACAAGAAGCTCGACTGTCTGTAGCTTCTTCGCATCCAACTGCATCACGCAGTGCCGTGATTGTCTCTCAACACCTCGCAAGGGGGGTCACTTAGCTTCCCCGAAGGTTGAGATCGACGTTCTTACCGGCGAGACCCAGGTGCGACGAAGAAACCCCACAAAACTCCCACGTGGCGCAGCTGCGGAAATCTACCCTACGCCACGAACTGCAGCTGATGTGAATGGCAGGTGCTGTCCTTCGATATCATCTACGCCTCTTGGTATTCACAGCGGTCCTGGGTGTCCTCCCCTACACTCAATCTCAGTCTCAGTTGGGGATGTGTTTTCGGTCGAGGTCATTGTGCTGTTTGGTACGGCATGTTGACTTTGGACAGAGATCTGCCGTTGTGTGTATTGGTGGGGGGGGGGGGGGGTGGTAGGGTACAGACAATGTTGGAAGCGCTGTGAACCGCTCCTTGAATCCGACACCTAAGACCTCTCAGAAACCGTTGCCACACGAAAGAAAGAAAAGAAAGACTGCCTTCGGCGACCCCCCCTTCCTTCGGGGGAAGGGCATGAGCGCCGGACGGACCAGAGAGACGAACCACCAAAACGACGCGGCAAAATGGCAATACCCATCACCAACCCTACAACCCCGCAATACCCCGAACCGCACCGAGTCATGCAACACTGACTTTAGTTCCGTCTGAGCCCCCTAAGGATTGCGGCAAGAGCCTGAACCCAGCTGTGGACATCGGTCAAATCGAGGCTTCAGAGTGCTGAGTGTTTCGGGCCCCCTCTGTGCCATGGTGAGGGTTTGGTGGGGTTTAGGGTTTAGGGTTATAGGGTTTAGGGGTTAGGGCTTTAGGGTTTAGGGTGCTGATTGGGGTGGTTGGTGGGGTGTTGGGGTACGACGGCAGCCATGGTTGAGTCATCAAGTTATAACCTGTACATTGTTTTTGTTAGTGTTTTTTGTCTTTGATACGGTCATTATGCAATCATGGCCAGATGCTTCAACACCCAACAGCCTACAAACCCTAACCCCAGACCCTGAGCCCCAATCCTTAAACCCTTCATGAGGCTATCAAGCCTACAGCCCTAACCCTAAACCTCTGAGCCCTAAACCCTAAACCCCTGACACCCCCAAAGAGCTGCCGTTTCCCGAAGCCAGGGCTGTGTCATTCAAGCCTTGGGCTTTGGCTTGCTGGAAGAGGACCACTTTTTTTTCCGGATTGAGGCTTCGGAATTTTAGGGGAATAGAGTTTAGGGGTTTAGTTTTTAGGGGTGATGCTTTTTGTGTTTTCGCTGGGGAGTTTGGGGGAATCGGGTTAAGCCGTCAATATGCGTTAACTGCTGCGACTCGGCACACTTTGCTTGGAGTGGGTCAAGGGGGCGGCAGCAGCCATGGTGCTTGCTGTCGTGTTTGCTGTCAGGAGCAGAGGAGACCGGATGGCGCACTCATCAACTGTGGCACTTGGGCCTCTTGCTGTCAGTGTTTATGTGCCTGATTTGCGAGGGGAGGCATGTGGGCTTGCAGCTTTCGGGGAAGCCAGCACGCGAAGCCTCGCACCGGCTTGGCACAAAGAGCACCTTTGCGATCCCTCTTGTGTATTCGAATCTGCAGAAGCTAGTGTATCAGTCTACTCGAGATTTCGATCGACTGCAGCCTGAAGACAATCTGAGGAGTACAAGATTCCCAGCGGCCAAGATATTCCTGCCAGATCCTCAACGTCTGCTCTGCATGGGGTGGGAGATAACAGGGTCTATTCCCAACGAAGAGACTTGAAGCTGCACCCAAGTCGATGTGGATGTGGCTTAATTACAGATGCTTACAGCATGTTCGTCACTCCTTTGCAACCAGTAGCTGCCGAGAGGGGCTGACACAGTCTCTTTTGAACCTGACCACTGCGCACAGGTGCGCATGACGGTGGAGCTTCTCCCCTGTGAGGACCTTCACCACCTTTTGTTTGAGGGTCCGTGGGAAGGTGAGCTTGGTCACAGTCGTTTGTCTGCATCCATGCGCTCTGAGGCGCGGATTGTTGATACCCCTTGGTGCGGGAGAAGCGTCTGCCGCATGAGAGATGGCCACACAGTGCTTGAGCAGTCGTGCCGCAGGGATATTGCCAAGGCTTCTCCGGGGTCCAGTGCAGGGTTAGAGTCCTTAGAGGTACACCAAAAGCCCCAAAGCCTGAAAACCCTAGTTATAAGGGCTAAATTACGCTAACTCCTCAACACTAAACCCTTAACCCTAAACGTCCCCTGAAGGACCCGAGCGCGCCCGTGATGGGCTCAAAGGCTTCCGGTGAGCCAGCCCCTGGGACTCACTTCCTTGGATTTTGTTGGGGGGGAGGGGGGGGGTTCTTGGGGCTGTTTTGGTTTGGGGGGGTTTGGGTTTTATGGGGGTTTATGGGGTTCATAGGGGGTTTCCGGGTCCCTGAGCTCTGCGGTCCGGCGGGGTTAGGGTTGATGGTGGACTATCGAGTTCTCTTGGGTCTTCTTGGATATCTTTGGGTTCAGGGTTCAGGGTTCAGGGTTTAGGGTTTAGGGTTTAGGGTTTCGGGGTGCAAGGGCCGTGGCTTTCTAGGTGCAAAGGGCCGTCAAAGGATTTGAAGATCAGGGGGCTCGGAGTTGAAATCTTCCCTTAAGTGGAGTTAGGGTTTAGGGTTTAGGGTTTTCTGCTGTGGTGCTCGGGGTGGGAGGGGCTATGGCCACAAAGTTGACAAGGTAGCGAGAAGCAGCGCACCCGCCCCCCCTCCCCCCCAGCCCCTCTTCGGCAACTACAGGGGCCGGGCCCATGAAACCCTAGACCCTAAATCCCCTGAAGGCGATGCTGCTGGGCGGCGCCACCTTCTTCGCGGCCGCCCGCCTCGGAGTTCAGCGGGGCCAGGACTTTGGGGTTTTTAAGGTCGTGTGGGGTTGAGGGAGGCTTACGCAGGGTAAGGCTTCCCTAAACCCTAAACCCTAAACCCTAAACCCTGAACCCTGAACCCTGAACCCTAAACCCTTGCTTGCCTCAACCCCACAGTGGTTCTAAGGTGAAGGACGCCATCGGCGCCGGGCTGAGCATTGCGTCCGGCGAGAGCCAACGATTTTGACGAGTCAAGGGTCTCCCTTCACCGAGGGTTTAGGGTTTATAGGGTTTAAGGTTTAGGGTTTAGGGTTTAGGGTTGGGAATTTTTGTGGCTTACGAAGTATGATTCCAGCTGTGGGAAATCCCACACACCAGCTCTGCAGGCCTGCAGGGCTCGTGGATGTTTGTAGATCTCGGGAGCAAAACCGTGGGGTCCCTGAACTGCCTCAGGCTACGCCCGCGCAGATCTGGGGCTCAGCCGCGAGTTCCGCCTGGACCCACCTGCCTCTCCAGACAGGACGGGTGTTGAGGGATTCCCAGCACATCTCAAGGTGGGACAGCGTAGAAACATGGGTGGTATGCAGCATATTGCATATCTATGTGCATGGGTACTTGGAGGTTCAGGCTACCCAGAACCCAATGATAGCTGCAGGAACAACCCATGTACAAGCCCCCTTCGTGCCCGAATGTCGGTTGGGAAGTTCGGAAGCCTGAGCCTGAACAGAAACATACAGAAACTGAGCTCTCCAACCCGATGGGCGTGGTGATGACCATTTTGGCTCAGAGTAGTAAATAGCATGTTGTTCCCTCATCTCGTTTAGAGGATCCTATTCTTTAAAGGGCCATCCTAGAACCGTCATCATGGGGGGGGGGGGGGGGGAAACGGGGTGTTCTGCGGATTTCGTGCCAGGATCCAGGCTGCCTGCGGCACCAAGATGCCAAACTGAGGGGCTGCGGCTATTGCTTAGGTCGGTCTTCGGGATGTTTAGGGCTGGTAGAGTGGGTGGAGGATGGAATTGAATAGCTCGAGCACGGTCGGAAGTCTGCGCATGTCCCTGGTGCACCTGCATCACCTTTTGCATGCACGTGGGACATGTGCAACAGCAGACTCGCCAGGCGAGGTCGAGGTGTGATGAGTAGCAGCAGCAGAACCCAACATCGGGAGATTCGTGTTACCAGAGTGGCAAGATGAAGCTTCACAGTGAGGGATCCGAAGCTGTGCTTATAAGGCCTGCCACCCCACACCTCGTCAGCGCTTGGGCACGCGCAGCTGCGCTGCTTAACGCCCAGCCACCATGGACCCGACTACTTGAAGGGATCCACCCCCATATGGCTGTGAAAACTGTCCCGAGTCGGCCCGGGCCTGAACCGAAATTTCTGGCGGCCTCCGAAGTAGATCTGGGGCAAGGGATTGCTTATACAAATGAGGGTGCCCTTTTGGGGAAGTGGGGGGAGGGAGGGTGGGGCACTGATACGGAGGTTCAATTATGAAACATAACTAAAATTAGGGGGCTCTGATTCAGACCTTTCGTCTCTGGGAGTGATTTTCGGCAAACACCGCTTGGCCACTTGGGCTGTGCGGTGCGGTCCATGCACACCAAAAGAGACTTGCCTCGCAGCCTCTTCGTTGACAAGGAAAGCCCCCTGTCGTGCAGTGAGGCGCGCAGCATCTTGGCAACATCCCTTGGATGTTTTGCGTCGTGCTTTAGACGTCGGCTGAGTTTACTCGCTCGTAACGATGACTTGGAACTCCATGTGTCTCCCAGTACCTTGTATGCGAATGCACCCTCATAGCCCCAAAAAACCTCGAAGTGCAGTTGCGAGACAGGTTTTGCCCGATCAGGGACTCGTGATTCCAGATTTCAAAAGGGCAGCTAGGAGCCGTCAGCAGCGAGGAACTGGCAAAAGGGAGGCCTCTCGCCAAGATCGCAAGCACCGAAGTTCTTCGTGCGCCCCACATGGCTTGGACAGGCCATGGAGGAAGCTGAAAAGAACAAAAGTCCGTGGCCCAGTGCTTCAGTTGCCCAGTGCTTCAGTTGATCCTGTCTGTGCACATTTTCTACTTTCACCCACGAGAGCTCGCGCAATTCCGGCAGCCCAGGCCAATACACCGCGCAACTGGAGTCCCTCCGACAGGAGATCGGGTGGCGTTTAGGAACCTCACACTTCGGGAGTTGCGTTTCAGACGATGCCTATCTGGTAAAAGAGTCAAAGCTGCAGTGTTATCGTTCGTCCGGCTCACTCCCCTCGACTACTGCTGCCTTCATATTTCCCGAACATGCCTGCTGCCGACCTCAACATGGCTTGCAGGAGAAGGACCATGCTCGCAGTGAGGCCCGGGTGTCCTGTGTGACGTGGAGAGTAATTGATTCAAGTTTTTTCAGTACAGATTCAGTGGGTGTGGCGAGGCTTAAACATCTCTTGCTCCCGCCTCGCAGAATCTGAAGCCTTTCGCAAAACAGCTGAGCCTGAAGAGCGGAGGTGGAGTCGATGCGCAAGGCTGCAGACAAGGCTCACAGCGACGTGAAGGAGGCGCCTGTGTGTGAAAAGTTGGTCTTGTTCGGGGTGTTGCGGCTTCGCATCATCTACAGCGCCGCCTAGGGTGTCCGTCTAGGACTTCCCAACGCTCGGAATCATCGTCCACATGTCGGTGCCGCAAGTCAGTGTATTTCCGTGGTTCACACAGCCACCGACGAAAAATAGGCAGTGTGATCTGTACTGTGCAGGTGAGACTTGGTATTATTCGTCTTTACCCTTATGCGTGAGGTGCAGTCGCTCCCTAAACTCTACAGTTTTACAAACATAGATGAACACATACATTGCACTCGGCCTCCGAAGCCATGCTAAGCCCAACTTCCGATCTCCCCAGCGCAGGCCCACAGTGCGTTGGATACCAAGGCCAAGGAGGCTCGAAACCGCTAGGGCGGGGAATCTTTGGTTTCCGGGTTCAACTGCAGCTAGCAGCATGTAGCCTTGTGGCCTTATAGGTATACACTGGCCAATGCCAAGGTCATGGGGAGAACGCTGCAATCATATTTAAGCGTTTGCTTGACCTCTGTGTTGGCCGAAGGTCCTTAGCACTGTAGCAGGCCATATGCATTTGCAAGCCCAATGCTATGGCACGACCAAGAGCCAGACTGTGGCTGGAGGTGTTGGGGGCATCTGTGCCTGAATTAAGGGCTACAAGTGCTCCCGATTTTTTTCTCTCGGAGTTTGAGCTTCAAACCCTAACCCCCCCCCCCCCCCCAAAAAAAAAAAAAAAAAGAGTCCCAACAGGTCGAGAAGCTCAGGGTCGCCATGCAGAAGGCTGAGCGCGAGGCCTTGGAGCGGGAGCCCCGGTGTGTGAAAGGGGCAGCTTAGACTTCTATAGCATCTCGATAGGCCCTCATTCCCCTTTTGTTTTAAAAGGGTTTAGGTTCCCTAAAGAGAAGCCCTTTGAAAGGAAGAAGCGCTCCCTCTTTTTTTGTGTTATTCCTAGGCTACTCTTGGGTCTAGTAGATCTTGCAGCCCTTCAAAGACTTTATCTAGCCATGAGAGGCTCAGGGCGTGAGGACCTTCATCGGTCTTGGGGGCTTCTGAGGTTGTTCATAGAGTATAATCAGCCAATAAATGGTGGTTAGCTATACTAACCATGTTAAAAAACAATAAGCCAATAAACAAGGGTTTAACTATAACCTTGTTAACCTATAATGTATTTTAGGTGTTTGTTCGAGCCACCGCGCGCTTTTTTTGTTTGGCTTCACAGGGTTCGCCTCCACTCTGAGGTGGAAGGCCGCTGCGGAGCAACGGGCGCAGGAGGCGCTCCCTCACAGCTTCATGCGGCCGGCCCTCCAAAAAAGTGTATTTTCCAAGCCTAGGGGGGGGGGGTACCCCCCCCCCCCCCAATCCCCAAAAGGTGGGGGGGGGGATTCTCATTTTGAGAACAAACTGACGTGGGGTGGGGGTGTATTTGCGTATGTCTCTCTCAGCTCCCATCTCCTTATGGGGTTTAGGGGTTTAGGGTTTGGGGTGAACCCACACTTGGGATGCGAGGTCAAAGAGGTCCGCGTCGTACAAGCCAAGAAGGACGGCTGTGTGCCTCACGTGGTGCTGAGAATCCACGTGGCAGTCCCATCGCAAGTACAAGCGGCTTTCTAGAAGATGAGAAGGAGTCCATAATATCAAACATCCTCAGACCCATCCAATACTAGTGGCGCCTGCAGGCCTTATGTCCTTAGCTACGTAGTGTCGCAGGACACGACAGAGCTCGTCAAGAAAAAGGAGGAAGTGGCGCAGGCTGCAGAGATCTTTGGAACAGAGCCGCAACATTCCTACGCACGTGTGTTTTTTCTACCCCGAGCAAGATGAAAAGGTACCGAGGTTGAGCAGATGCATTTCAGCAAGAACCGCTTGAAGACCCAGGCATTTTCACAGCCGAAAGCCAAAGCTGCCCCGGTCCCGCGAGGCCAAGAAGTCCGTCGAGGACACGACAAAGAAGCTGGAAGACACGAAAAAAGAGCTTGGGGAGGCATCTGGAGGGGCGAGATGTGCTGATGGGGGTTGGGGGTTGGGTTCACCATCAGTCAGTGCAGTCCAACTGTTAGCAGGGGGGGCGGGTGTCGGGTATCGGGTATCATGAGTCGGGGCAGGATCGACTTGACACTTCAGGCATGCCCAGACGCCCTCAAAAAAAACCCTCAAAAAAAAATGCATGGACTTCATGGGACATCTTTGCCTCCAGGCTTCGCAAAAAGTTGCCGAGGCGGAGGCCGCCAGCCTTTCTGCGGTTGGCATCGCTCCGTTCTGCACGTCTCCATTCTTGCTTTGGGGCTGCTCCTGGCAGCAGATTCCTCGCATGTCCACCCTGCAGCCTGGCACAAGGCTAGGGCCACGGCCGCAGAAAAAGCAGCCACGGCAGCAAAAGGCCACTCGGGACCCGAGGGAGGGGACCTCTGGCAAGTTTTTTCTGACCTCTCACCAGCTGACTTCTTGTAAGCATGACGTGACTTGCTTGCTTCTGCTCCTCGATCTGCGCCAGAACGGGCGTCAGCGGCTGAGAAGAAGGTTGAAACGGCTTGCCCGGCAGAAGTTGGACCTGACGCCCAGTATCATTTCTATTCTTCCTCTGTCGTATTATATTAAATTATTAATTATTATTTATTATTATGATATTATTATTATAACTCTGGTATTGCTGATAGTACTAATACTAGGAAAGGGATAGTATCTGCGCTGATGCTAGCGATGACTTGTAGTCGGCTGACCGCCGCTGCCCTAGCCACATTTTCTGACTATAGCGCCGAAGCGGGGAAGTGAACTCAGGTACTGGTAAAGCGGTATCTATATATACATATACATATATACAGAATATATATATATATATGTGTGTGTGATTTTGTTTCGATATTTATTAAAGGATCTCCACTCCATCTTAGCCCTAAACCCTAAGCCCTTGAAGCCCTAACCCTCAGCCCTAACGCTACGTTTTCGACCCGGCCAGGTAGCGCAGAGTGTTCGCGCTGAGGCCGGGAGACGTTTCAGCAAGGGCTTTCTAAGGATGTTGTTAAAGGTTCCTAAATCTTAAGTCTTAAACTCTTAAACCCTACACCCTAAACCCACAACTAAGCCCTTTGAAGGCTTGTTCAGGCTTTAGTGCTTACTTAAAGGATGCGGGAAGAGGTACCTGTTTTCCTCAAGGCCTTAAACCCTAAACCCTAAACCCTAAACCCTAAAGCCACCGGACTCGCAAGCTGAAGAGCCGCCTTCTTTGCACATCTGTACACCTCGTGCTAAAGAAGCAACAAAAGAGGCGAACCTCAGAAGCATCACGGGCACCCATGGGCCTCTTCCGACCTCCTTGGGGGGGGGGGGGGGAGAAGTTCCCCAGAACAAAAGCATATTTGGTGTCCCTTCGAGCGCTTGGAAAAGTTTACGGCTGAGGCTTTGGGGCTTTGGGGTTTGGGATATA